GTGTGTACAGTGGACTCCTGTCTATTTTCTCTCTCTCTCTCTCTCTCTCTCTCTCTCTCTCTCTCTCTCTCTCTCTCTCTCTCTCTCTCTCTATATATATATATATATATATATAGCATCAGAAAGACACTGGCCAAACATTGCATCCATGCGAGATTCCTAGGCAAAAGCCACTGTAATAGTGGGGCAGAAGGCAAGATTGGCTTCGTCACAGACACATTTTCAGAAAAATATAGGTCACTCAAGATTTACTTGATTGATTGACTTTAAACTTGATGGGTGGGCCGGCACCTGAGGAAACTGACATTAAAATGTTGATTTTCTATACAGTCAGTATTCCCATTTACGGACTTCTTTCTCTCACCCGGAATGAAAACCTATGCATTAAAATTTCGATTACGATATTTCATTAACGATCGATTCATAACAACGTAAGTTCCAGTACCCGGAACTCGGAAACAATACGGAAAACCGCAGTGGCGCAAACACAAGCCAGTCTCGTTCGATACGACGGAATAACTCTGCCCGCGCCGCTATTTACGCTCATTGGATCCAAAACGGCGACATGTAAGTGACTCTTTTAGCATGAGTTTTCTGAAATAGTGAACGATTTTTTTATTTCATTCATTTACATTTACGTCCTGTTGATCGTGCCATCCAAACGAAGAGGAACAGTAATGACCGCGGAAGACAGAGTGGAATACATCCGATTAGCTGCTCAGAGTAAATTCAAACGAACGTTTCCTGGAATGCTTTACCTGTTATCATGTTAAAAACTTTCCGCTAACTGGACCACTAATTGGAGAGAAGGCGAGTTCCATCGCGCTAAATATGGGCATCGAGGACTTCGAAGCGTGCCGTAGCTAGCTTTCAAAGTTTATTGCACGACGGCAGCTGAGCCACGCTGTCTTGGGTGGCGATCGAGGGGAGGTTAAGTTAGAGACAGTGAGTGAGTGGAAAGAAAAGCCACCAGGTCTGTTACTAGTCTCATTTTGTAGCAAATAGTCCTAAATTTGTTATACTGTATTTTGTTCATATACCTGTACTGTATACTGCAGCTTTTGTGTTATAAACAGTGTTTGGAGCATATATTTTTGCATTTCATTGTTTGTGTTGTTACGCATGCATTTTGTTCACATACTTGCATGTTCATAAAGGACATGTACCATAGCCGTATCCCAAATAAGGAAATTCTGTTATAAGGAAAGATTAGACAACCTTACTCGAGAATACTTACTGTAATTTATCATTTCTCCCCTTTAAATCTGCAACTATGTGGTGACTCGCAGCTAAGAATGCCATCTAATCATTAGTTTATACCTTTTAGCTAGTCTGTATGCATTTTGTACCTCACAAATGTCCTTGAGGTGTTTAATGTAGTGTCTCTCCGTGCTCATGATCTCATTGATGACGTTAGCTCTCATCTGGTCACGGTTCTGGAGAGGCGAGCCAAGACACAAACAATCGTTGGCTGGGTCCAGGTGACCATTTTGAACCTCGCTCGTCCCTTCGGCTGGTTCCCCGGCGCCGTCCTCTTGATTCACCCACAGCTAAGGACAAATATATTTACACGCACAAACATGGACACGCATGACTCGGTAAGATGTGTGTTAACTAAATTTGATGAAAAGCTTTTAAGAAAATAAACAAACAAACAAAAATTACAAACCCTTCATTCAAATTTGAAAGTGACTTAATCCCACAAACACACTCCAACATCAGACAGATACTACGGCACATGTGATAGCATTTCAAAGATTAGTTTCCAGAGGGTATCTGACCTTGCGTGTGACACCCCTTTTCACTTAGGCACACATATACAGGTATTAAAGACAAGAAGTGACCACAACTTTGTTTTTTTTCTTTAAATACATATTAAATACAATTTTTTCTCTACTTAAAAAAATGTATCTGGAACCAGATGAATTTACTCCATTTTATTTTGTCAAGTGGTTGCACAAAATAAAATCATCTGGTCTTGATTGGATAGAAAAGGAGCATCCCCGAAAGGCACAGTTGTTCACAAGCAAGGATGGGGCAAGGTTCAACTTTTTGTGAACCCATCCGTGAGCAAATTTTCCATAAGTTTAAGAACATTTCTCAACGTACAATAGCAAGGAATTTCGGAATTTCATCGTTTTTAATCCACAATATCATTCAAAGATTTCTAGAATCTGCAGAAATCTCTGCACATAAGCGGCAAGGCCGAAATCCAACATTGAACGCTTGAACGCTTCGATCACTCAGGAGATTCTGCATTAAAAACAAGCGCCATTTAGTAAGGGATACGGCCATAGGGCCACAGGAACAGTGCGGAAAACCAGTACCAGTTAACACAGTTTGTCACTTCACCTATTATTGTTGTTTCATTTTATTTTTTTAACAGTGATGTGTTCACTTTCTATACTTAGTGCAGATCTTTGAAAATGTACTCACATGCACATTTGCCCCCCCAACATTCATACCCACAATGTCACACACATAATACTGTATCCAATCCTGCTAATAGAAAGGGCACAGTGAGCGTGACTTCAAATGCCCAGCAGCCAACACCTGACAAAACAAACTTTTCCAATATAACAGTGAAGAAAAACTGACAGGTAGAATGCCAAACACAAGATGAGAAATGCAGCGCCACAGACAAGCAGAGTGACTGGTGGGAGAGCACTGAACTGCAGAGACGAGAATCAGTAGCGCAGCCTTACAACCAAAAAAATAGTCAGAGTCAACAGTAAATGAACTGTACTGAAAAAAAATTATTTTTTAATCGCAGTAGGCATTCATATTAAGGTACCTTTTATATTAATAGGAGTAGTAATATCTTAAATATTTTGGGTCCAAATCTTACAAGAACAAGAAAATGAAGAACTTTACTTTTGACTCATCACGACGACCTAGTATCTATGACACCTGTCAAGAGTGATTGGATGAAGTTAATGTTTGGTAATATTGAGGGTGCGTTGCATGGTGGGTTGGACAGGCTAGATGGTTGGATGAGGCTGGAAAAAAAACGCACCTTTGACGTGGTGTTTTGGAACCGTGGAGTTGCTATGGGGTTGATATAGAAAACCTGTTTTGTTTGGGGCTGAGGAGGGTGGGGTTCCACCTTGGAGAGAAAGAATGACACAACAGAAAGATACTTTTTGGTTGACAGTCCTGCCCTCTTGGGAGTGACAATGGAAGGGTGGACAGGTGGGAATGGCAATGAGGAGTGTCTGGAGGTGGGGGAGGCATTCTGCTGTGAGGCTCCACCTACAAGGATCCTCTATCTTCTTTTAGTGAGCCCACAAAGAAATAACACACGGTGGCTTCATCAGACATCAGTTCAAACAGAGTTGGGTTGGTTGTGTTCAGATGTGGGTAATTAAATAATCACAACGTAGCTGAAAACAAAACAAAAAAACAGCATAGACCAGCAATGTGTTTTATTGTGTTTTTGTGCTAAGATCAGCAGCAAAAGCAAAACAAAACAGCGAAGATTCAAACAGCCCAACTTTCGGTCACTGGACAACTCGCTCTATGAAGTGAGCCAGAGCCTCCGAGCAGGAGCAGCATGTTGCTGGGGCCCTGCCAGGAATTGGTGATAACTGATGACCAGCTGATGTTTTTGCTGGTGTCACCAGCTAGCAACAGAGCAACGACAGCACTCAGCTGGGTGGCTGTGGCTCAGTCGGTAGAGTGGATTGCACAGGGACCGAAAGTTCAGGTGAATCATGGCTGCTTTTGTTGTGCTTTTGCTGCTGGTCTTGCTCGTGACGCCAGCAAGACCAGCATGCTGCTGTGGCCCTGCTCGCAGCTGGTGACACCAACTAGACAAGCTTGAAAACACAACAAAACCATGCTGGTCTATTATCATTATTTATTTATTTATTTATTTTTTTTGAGAGGGAAAAATAAACATAATGCCACATGAAAGGGACATGCCCCTGCATTTATTTTTAGTGGAGCAATATTAATTCGTCCAATAAATAACCGTTCACAATTGTGTGCAATATGTGTGAAGAGCCAGCATACCAATGTCTGTTTGTTTACATATGTTCATGTGCCTCCAGTTGTGTGTGTGGGTGTATGTTGCGTCTGTAATTGTGGGCCAGCTGCGGCTGCAACAGACTCACCCGCACAAAGCTGGCAGGAAACCATCCCTCCTCCTCATCAATCTGGCCCCACCACCAGTCCTTGTTGGATGCATCCAGCACCTTTATGACGTCACCGGCTTTAAACGCCAACTCCCGGTCCGCCATGGTCACATGGTCCCATACCGCCTCAGCGTTGACGATTGACCCTCCACTTATCAACTAAAGAATAGGCGAGAACAGAGAATATATCTCAGTCACAGCTCATTAAGATTGGTCTCCAACTGGGTTGACACCAATGACACAACATTGTAGAAATAACCATCTACCAAGTTTTATCTGAAATCACTGCAGATTCACATCTGCAATCGCTAAATTACACCACACTCTGTGGCTCACTTATCTGCTCTCTTATGTATCTTAAAAAAAAACAAAAAAAAAAAAAAAAACAACTTTCATTTGATATCTGGGTTGAAGTTATATGTAAATTCTTATGAAGAACAATTGTTCTATGATTTGTGTTTCAATTTGAATGAAGTAATTAAATAAATGTGACAGCAATTACAATACTTATCCTTTGTGTTGAAACCGCTCAGATAACTAATGGGTGCAAATACAACCCCTCAAAGCCCACTGGTAGCGTGAAGGACTGCAAACAACACGGTTGCTAACACAAACCACAGCACAATATAACAAAGTGCAACAACACAATAAAAGGGCAAAACTATGACAGGAGAAACAACACAGTGTTCAGACATGCATCAGTCAATCGGGGGAGGGGGGGGTCATGGCCTGTGAGCTGATTGGCATTCTTTCACAGATACAGGCAACTAAAAGTCGTTCTCATGAAAGGACAAGAGACCGCGACATTGCTTAAATGGGACCCAGAAAAGTGAAATCATCCATTTAGTGTACAGAAATGCTATCATCACGCTGCTTTGCCACCCAGAGACTAACTTCACGTCCACATTACGTATGAATCGTTGGTAAAGCTCCATATAATTGTTTTGCCAAACTTTCTCTTCCAGTTTCGGGTCTACTTCACCAGAATGCTCCAGCACAAACATTAATTAAGTATCCAGTTGTGGGCAGCCAGTTCTACCCAAGCCAGTCAAGATCTGCTTTGGAAAGAGGTAATTAGTTTACAGAGGCTAAACTATATGAACTCTTAAGATGAAATCTAAACTACGTTTTGTCTGGGATTTAGAATTTGGCTCAATAAAACCTTCCATCTGTGGAATAATTTGTTTGTAATGTAAAAGTGGTTTTACTATTGCAATGCATTGTTTCAGTAGCCCCCCATAAGTTAAAATAAACACATTTAATGCAAAAAAGGGAGAAATGTTCAAGTGTGAATAGATGGACGACTGTATACAATTGAAAACAGACCAAGGCACCGTGTTAAAACGTGCAAGACAAGACACGTTTTCCTTGAGCAATCCCATCTTTCGTGTTGGTTCAATGTTACACGTCATAAAAGCATGAATAATTTTACTAAGGCTGAGGGGGGGGGGAATCATTGATTTAAGAATGTTTTTGACATTTCCAAAGAAAATGCAAAATTTGCAACCATATCTGGATAAATTTAATTTGTAATGAGTATTTTAAACTTTATGATGTGGGGTATAATGTTAAATGTTTTGACTAGAGAGGGAGATTATTTGATTAATATTTGGATTCGTGACAATATTTTTATCTAAATACTGGAACTTATATTTTGTCCAGTAAATAAATCATCGTGGACTGTATACTATATATGAAATTATTAATTTACTGAAATTAATTTACGCACATGGGGAAGATATGTTTATATGGCCAATATATGTTCCTATAATCAATAACACCATTTTTTGGGAGGGGGGATTCTTTTAAGTAAACTTGATCATCGGTCAAACAGAGATAGATAGATAGATAGATAGATAGATAGATAGATAGATAGATAGGTAGATAGATAGATAGATAGATAGATAGATAGATAGATAGATAGATAGATAGATAGATAGAACATCTATTGATAAAGCGTGATCCGAATTGAGTACTTTTTTTTCATTTTCATGAAAAAATAAACTAAAAAAAAACAACAAAGACAAAACAAAATAAAAATTCAGAGTTCAGTTAATTGTTGATCTTTTTACTAGATGGAAACAAAGTTTCGAGGTGAATTGAACAAACAAATCGAAATAATGAACAAGCACATCAGACTCTTACTTGGGGCGTAATGCAGTTTATCCGATTGGGGTTGTCGTAGCCTGATATCGGTAAGCAGAGGTCTTTCGCCCAGATGCAAACTGATTTGCATTTTGCTCGCTCACAGCCAAACAGTGTTCTGCATTATGCATACTGTGATTGCCGTTCATTCAAGTAAGCACAATGATTTGTACTTTTGTGATGATTCTAAATTATGCTTTTTACTGTGTCTTTTTCCTGCTTATACTTTGAATGTGTTTGGCATTTTATTTCATGAAACCATGTCTGTGATTGGTCTCACAAACAATGAGTTTCAGCAGGCACGGCACCAGGATTTTTTTTTGTTCCGGGGCTAAGCGGGGGCTTGATCGATATGTGGAGGGTTGAGAAGAAAATACATTGTCATTTATATCACTTACTTCTACTTTGTTTTGTTTTGTTTTTCAAAGTATAATGCAGATTAGTGGTGAGCGGTAGAGACATGTATTCAATATAAGGTATGAATTTGCCCGATTTGGATCCTGTGGTCCAGTTGCGGTAATTGATAACATCTTTATATTCCCTTCCACGTACTTTTAAATGTGACAGAAATACCCAAATTATTTGCACGCATCACCTCACTGTGTTCCCCTGGGAATGCTTGTTGCACACTATTTTGAAGCCTCTGCACTTACGAGCTGCAGCATGTGCTCCTTCAGGAGTTGGACCAGACTCATTTCTTCCAGTTGCTCTCTTCTTCTTTAAACCCCTTGGGAGACTAGGAGAGTTTTTTGGGGAACATTTTTTTTGTTTGTTTGTTTTATTACAAAGCGATCCAGTGCAGAGATGGACTGCAAGGGGGTCTAGATAGATTTTTGCAGGTTTATTAGCCGAGTCATCAAAGGAATAACCGGTTCTAAAAAGATTTGTTGGTGACAGCCCTAATTTTTAAAAATTTGCATTCAGCAAACGGTTAAATAAACAATGTATGATAATATCAGTTGCTGGAACTCACGCACAAGAGCATATATAAAAAGTTCAACTTTTGTTTTCAGGACACATGACTAAGCACTGCATCATACTGGATTTCGAATGAAGCGTCCAATGAACAAAGTTAATCACATATTCAGTAAACTAACCAACGTATCTGGAGAATCTGCTAAATTCTTCCCTGCATGTCATTCAAAAGCACCCATTTCTGCATGCGGGTTTCGCTCACAGATGTCACTGAGTAGATTGATTACATCGGCAATCACACAGGGCTGTGAGCTGCTGCAACAATAGCTCCGGCCTATATCTCAAAGCTCTTCACTTCAGGAAGAGAGGAGGATTACTGCAAAAACATGTGTCACGCTGCCATGGAAACAGCATGGATGGAGGCTGCTCAAAAAGATTAAAAATCTTTGTTCATTCAGGAAGAGAAATTGGATTTATATCATTCAAACTGAAATGATGACAATGCAGAAATACATCATGGCATGATTGACCTGACTGGGTCAGCACATACGGAACGGAGGTCAGCCTCGATGCTCCACTATTAAAACTTATTAGGTTCACATCACTGCACTACATCATATTCTGCCCATTTCACCATAGTGCAGTTTCTAACAATATGCTGTAATACAGGCAACAAACATCAGGAAAAAGGGAAAGATAGCAATCCAGTAAGTCACTATAGCGATGTTCCTTCCTAGTCAGTTCTCTCCTTTGCCTCTTTCCATCTCCTTAATGAGATCAGCACTCTCCAATATAGTGCATTCGTTTCCAGACATTTCTGAATAAATTAAAATCACCATAGTCAAGTGCAACAATTGGCCCTGCCTTAGATAAATTTAGCCATACCGTAGCTTCAGCAAATAACATCGGAAAGCTCTTCCACACAAACACTCCCGACCTGTGATCTGACAGCTGTAATGACCGACACAGTATGTCAAGTTGCACCAATGTAAATCAGGACCCTACTCAAATTGCAAGATCTGTATTTAGGTCAAAGCAAATCAATGCAGAGGAATGTTGTAGTGGACTTAAGTGGCATGTTGAAGCGATATAAATTAACACCGAGTAAAAAAAAAATACAAAAATATAATGGATTGAGTCCTTCTGTGTTTGCACCACAAAGCATCAGCATTTGCTGCACTGGCAGCCCCGCTGCATTCTTCCTCTCTTTGAAGTTGTTGCATAGTTGCACTGAAGCACCGGCAGCATTCCTAAGCCAATACATATGTTTCAACAAGCCTTACCATGTTCGTAGCATGTAACTGTAAGGAGAGCGCCTGCATGGAGAAGTCCGGATCATATGATCACGAATCCCTTTCAATAGAGCTAAAAATTACAGTTGTTCGCGAGAGCAAATCCCAAGCTGTCGTTTAACAGGGTGCTATATTCCAGAAAGAGGTTTCTCTTTCTGACGCACAGAGTGAGTCTCGTGGTCCGTCCTCCCTGCGTCTGCCAACCTTGTTATGTAATACACATATACCCTGAGTCTGGGAGCCAATCAGAAAGAGCTCTTCCTAAAATCAGTGAGAAATAGCAGCACCTCTCTCATACACATGGTTTGTCACTCACGCAGTCTATACACACATTTATACCTTGCACAAAGTTGAACAGAACGCTCTAAGAAGGCACCTGACCTGGAGGGACTGGAAATGTATGAATGCCTTCCGATTGAATAAAAGACGACAGCGTCGATACATATAAGTTGCACAAAAATAAACCACCGCAGACATGGACTTGCTAATGTGCCGCTTAGTTTAAAATGGTGCCAGAGTCATGAAGCGGGAGTATACAACAGCATGTTTGCTCTGCTTACAGTCCTGTGTGGGCCCATACATGGAAGGAAACTCAAGCTTTGTTCTACAGTGAAAAGAACATCAGCCCACATGCCATGACAAGTGAAAGATCTACCTTCCCTTGTAATACAAATGGCTGCCAAGAATTTGTCTACACATGCAGTGAAACCTTTCCACCTTCACTAAACAAACACATATGACTGAGCCTACAAGGTGAGGGAGCACTTATATCTATTTCAAAAAAACAAAAAAAAAAACTGAGAGCAA